GTATTCGTATACTCATTATTCGAATATTCTTTACTCGTTATAAATGAAACATAGTTTGGTATAGTGAATAACGAATAATCGTTCGTTCCTTTCTTTCGAGGCTTACGTATTACGGCCCATCTCTAAACTTACTCATGTTACAGACCTATTGAGTAAAAAGATAGAGGAAAACAACTTTATTAATTCAGGAGCCTCTGATTTAGCTTTACCGTGAACAAAATTCCTTAAGTTTCCTTAGACTCACGGTAGTCAGAACCACTTCGTACCACTCCAAGTCGCTCCGGGCACTCCGGTTACAGCTCTGCGGCATCAAGCTGTAAGCTTGATTCCGATGCCGCAGGGTCGGGATCGGGATAGGAGGATAAATATTTACGGGATCGGGACCGGGATCAAGCTTACGAGACGGGATCGGGGTCAAGCTTACGGGCGGGTTCGGGATAGGAATTTAAGCTGCTGAACGGGATCGGGATTTTCTTTTTCCAATTTATTGGAACTATATTCTTTATCACAAAAATAAAGTAAACAAACAAAATATCAGTTAGCTTGCTTATACATCGTTGTACAACATAAATAAAAACAATATCTCTTTAAAAGCCTACATATCAGTGTGAAAATCAAAAAGAAAATGTATGTTCAACAGCCTAAACACTGATGTACAGAGAGAAAGACAGATGGGGAAAGCCTAATTTTCTTTTCAATTCAATCGTCATCTGTATCATCACTTTCAATTTGAATGTTAGATTTTTTCATTGTTACAAATAGCTGTTCATTTTCATCTAGTGATTTTCGTTTTGACGCAGGTGTATCAACACAGTTGATACTTAATAGTTGATACTACAGTTGATTCAACAGTCTCGTTTTTCTCCATTTTCTTCAATGTCCACAAATTCTTTTGGAGAAACATTAGTTTATTAATTTTTTCTGCACCTAAACTGGTACGACGATCGGACAGTATTTTTGGTAGACGAGAACAGTCGTTCTACTTCTGTATTTGATGCAGGAATAGCTAGAATTTCTCGAGCAATAGATGATATCATGGGATATGCTTGTTGATGCGTTCTCCAATAATCTAAAACATCTTCCCCTCCGTCTTGAACAATAGTTGTGACTGAGTTCATGTATTCGGGCGAAAAAAAATTTCGGGATTTAACGGGATTGTAATTATGCCTACGGAACGGGATCGGGATAGGGATTGGCGAAAAGAATTTTTCGGGATCGGGACAAAAAACTCAATCCCGCAGGACTCTAACTCCGCTACTCCACTGTATACTAGTTGCCGGTTGATACGTCTGTTGACGAGTTGCCCACCGATGGGTTTTTTGTGAGCTCGACCAAATGGAAAAAATAACGAATTCCGAAGAACTCTACATAACGGCTCTATAATTATGGTCAGGTCCTCGACATTTCATCGTATTTCTGCTATCGTTCGCTCAATTTTTATCCGGGAAATGCGACATTTTACAGGTAAATAGCAGTGACTCCTGGCTATTGATTAATGTAAAAGTTTTCTTAAAATTCATTAAAGTTAATTAGAAAATTGACTCATAGAGACAATTCCTTGTCTGTATGAGCGAATTTTCTCTCCGACATTTACATGAACAATGGCATGCGAAACAAAATATACGTAGTATAGTATAGTCAGTTTTTCGGCCTGTAGTTGCCTTTTACCATGAGCAGATTCAACGAATCTAGAAGACATTTTAAAATAAGTGTAAGACAAGACCAATTCAGTTGACCTCATACATTTTAACAAAGGTCTTCACCCTGATCAGTAGTAGATAATAAATTATATTAATTTCACAGTAGTGGTGAGAATGTTATAGTCACCATTTGCCTTAATTGTAAAAAAATGAGATAGCGCTGGGACGGGAGTTTTATGAATCTAATGAGATTCTATGGATACCGAATAAAATATTATCAGAGACATTGTTTGTTCTATCTAGAGGAAAAATATTTCAGTTAGGAATTAGTTGGTAGTAATAGGACTTTACATCTGGAAAATGTATACCTTTCCTTTCATTAATATTCATCAGATACCTTCGCATACAATATCTAAATGGCGTGAACAATAAAGTCGATTGCAACGGCTTTAGTTTAACGCAATGTTACGTGTTCAATAAAGTTAGCCTGTAAATAAATTGACAATTAAAAATAGATTGATTACTTAAATTTTGTTCATTAGTGAGTATAATAGTAAATATGTCGTTTAATAAAACGACAACAGTTTAAAGTAAAATATTATTTCGAGCGAATAATTTGAATTTGATGTTTTGTCTTTTCAATCGACGGATGTGTTGATCCAAACGTTTTCATATATATGTCTAATGATTTTGTAAAATACTTTAATGCTAAATCATATTGTCGTTTTTCGAAATAAACCATGCCAATTAAATAATAACTATCACCAATAAATGGATGTATTGGTGGTAATGTTTTTAAGTGTATATTTAACATTTTTTCATAATTTACTAATGCTTCATCATACTGACCTCTTTTCATCTCGAAATTACCAATAGATTTATAACTATATATCAAATCTGGATGTGTACCCGGTAATGAACCCTGTTGAACTTCAAGCCCTTTTTGAAGATTAGTTAATGCTAAATCATGCTTACCCATTTCCTCATACAGCAAACCAAGACTGTTATAAGTCTTTCCTAGATCAGGATGATCTTCCGATAATGTATCTAGTTGAATAGCGAGTGCTTTGTTAAATAGTTCTAATGCAGTATCATATTTGTGCGTTAGTAAATGAACTTTACCAATATTTAGGTATGTATCAGCAATTGTTGGATTTGCAATTCCTCCAAAATTTTTCTCATGATATTCAAAAGCTTTATTACTATATTCAAATGCTTTTTGGTATTCACCCAAATTAGAATAAGCTTCAGTCATCCCTCTATATGTTGTATCCTGCGTATCTGGTTGACCATACTCTAATGCTTTTTTATAATTAGTTAATGCTTCATTATAATCACCTTTATTATTATGCATTGAACCAATATTATTATAACATTCCCCGATTAATCGGCTCCAGGTTTGTTTTGTTGGATTTTTCATTAAAATTTCAAGTGCTTTATTATTGTTTATGAGACATTGATCGTATTCACCTTTCATATTATTAGCAACAGCAAGACCATGATAGGATGAAGCAATGTCAAAATCACTTATTACTAAATTATCTTTTAATATATGTTTATAATGTGCCTCAGCTTCATTAAATTTATTCATACCATTTAATAGCTCGCCAACGGCAATTACTTGATTTTTATCAATGGTTTCTTTATCGAAATGTTTTGAATATTGTTCTATATCATTATCTGTATTATCAGCTAATGTTAATTTTACTTTCCATAGTTTTTCACTTTCATCCCTTACAATAGAATCAATA